AAAAATAAGCTCTCTTGCTTGTGTTGTGTGATATTGCTAAACTACATCATATGATATAAATATAAGATAAACCCATCCAGGGGCATTTTTTTGCCATTATATCTTGATTTTTAGGTTCATTTAACTGCATTCTAATAGGCTTCATTATGCAGTCAGTCGTCCTGCATTACATGTGTCAACAACTGCATCAACGTAAGATGATGTACAGGTCTGGTTCAGGGTGCGTTGAATTCATTAAAATTGTATTTATTAATTTTTTTCCCATAGTTAATCGCATCTTTACCATATCTTAATTTTTAAGCAAAAAGCTTCTATGTAAACTACTTTTCGTTTTACCAGCCAATGATGATTCTGAAAGAAAACAGGCAGTGTTTGTTATGGTAACACATGCAAATTTCACGCGCATCTGACTGACGGTCAGGGTTATTATAGCAAATCACTCGACTGCATTTAGACACTTAAGTGTTCTTGCTCCATCCAAGCAATAAATGCACATCCTTAAATGAGAGCTATAGCATATTTACTTTAACCCCTCAGGTAATGTCAGTATGACCCATTCCAGGGGCTGCCAAAACGTCAATTTAAAATCAGTCAGAGCTTCAGAAATGCATCTTTACAAGTAAAGCTCCATATTATGCGTAGGTTACTATCAGATGCCCCTATACATCTAGTTTTGACGTGCATCAGTGGGGATCAAGCCTTCTTCCATCCCTGCTACTCAGAGAGTATGCGATTTCAGATGCAGCCAGACGCTTGCAGGTTTAAACAAATCACTTGAGTGAATGATTCTATGACACATTTTTCACCACTTAATCGTGTAAGAACTTCATCTAGAGAAAGAGTCATAGAAAGATCCCCAGGACAATACAGAGTACCTAGCAATACCTGGAATGGTGAAGTGCAGTGCTCTGCTTTATTGATTTATAAATAATGATTTCTCAGTACTATGATTGTGCATAGTTGTGTTATGTGGCAGGCTGCTAGTGCTGACACTTGATATGATAGAGCTAACTACGACCAGCACCACAGCCTCCCTTCTTTCTCTGCATAGAGGATGCCAGTTTATCATATGCCATTATCATTTTCTGTTTATATCTCTCACTGTGTTGTTATTGATGTCACGTCAGTTCTAATGGCTGTTGGTTTGATTCGATGAGTGGAGGGTGTTGATTTCTCTGGTTTCCCTGCTGATAAACAGTCCCCTGTTCACCACTGCCTGCTGCACTGTCATATGTTATCTCTTTAACACAGCACCATCTATCTACTGCAGAGAGATCAAGAAGCCCATGAGGGAGAGTGTGTGTGAGAGAGAGAGAGAAACAGAGGCGTTCTGTTACAAAACCTGAGCTGATCTACACAGCCCTTTTAACTTAATACCTGTGTACTTACATAGTAACTAGATGTGTATGTAACCACAGTGTAAGTACACATTGGTACATAGTATCTAGAGCTGTAATATTTCTGTAACTACACACATGTAACAACCCTCCGAATGGTTTGTGTAAGTACAAATGTGTAACAGGACATATATAACTACATTTATTTACAACAATAT